TACTCTAATCTTGACATTATTCATGGTGATTTACATTAAGTTTTGTGGAATGGTTTACTGTGTTTAAACGTCAATAGCAGCTAAATTTAGAAATCCCTCCCTTGTCCTTTTATGTAAACAGAAATAACTTGTCCTTATTTAATTTTATTTATATTTGAATAGTGGATGAGAATTTATGAGAATAAATAACTACTGAGGTACTGAAATCAGTGCCAGTTGGTTTAATTTTTATTGTAGTTTCGTCTTTAATTTTTCATATGTTATGATGAAAATATATTTTTAATGTTATTAAATAATCAAGAAAAATACACTTTTACAAACATTTTGTAAACGATAGGTTCTTGAATATAATCTAGGACAAATTATTGTTGTTTGGAGCTTAAAAATAGAAGCGCTATGAAGGTGAAAACTGTTAGTTCTGTGCCTAATTTCTAGTCGACATTTATATTTCGCGTTAACATTGAAGGTTAATTGTCTAATCGTATAAATTTAACAAAGACGTCAGCTTTCTTTAGTATTACTAATTTTCTATTACCGTTTTTATATCTGTGTTTTCATTCACTTATTTGATCATATAAAACAACATATCTAAATTTTTATGTTGCAGTAAGTAAAGTATAATTTAATTTTTCTAGGGACTCTGAATAGCAGTAGTTAGATCAAATGAGGCAGTATAAATAATGGATTTTTACTTAACTAGTTTGTTTTATTAATAATGTTTATTTCAAACAAAGTGTTTTGTACAAAAGTGACAAAATCGATAGGAAATTCCGTTTAAGAAAAATATTAGTATAATGGCTGGAAAAATGAAAAATCGATTCTCTTGTGTGTTCAAAAACATTTTTATCGATTTTGCTGTATTTCATTAACCTATTGTGAAGTAAAGGCTAAAAGCATACAGCGTTTAGTAGATTTAAAATGAATTTATTTTTATGGTCGAAAATAGTTGCTTTTTGCATTTGCCAAAAATCAAGAAAGGTGACTTAACGATTGCCAAAAAAGGCGTGTTGTATTTACAACACAAATATTCATTGTCAGCTCCAATTTTTTAATGTGACATTTTTTTTTAATTAAAATACAGAATGTCCAACGAAGAAGTGCATAAACTTATTACCATAAGTAAAAGTTTTTACTCGAAAACAGTGTGTCATAAAAAAAACAGTCGAGATACATTTTTTCTTCCAAATTGAACAAGAAATTCAAAAATAATTTTTATTTTAAGGAAAATCAGTGGCATATCATTTTTTTCATTAAAAATATCCAACGACGTACCTGTGCGCTCGCCACTGGTGAAACTAAAAACAATATTTTTGTTGTAAAACATGTATTGTTGTTAATTGTCAAAGCTTGTAAAATTTCATTAAAATATTCTGAGCGGTTTCCGAAATATTTATAAATTTACATTTTTTTATCAAAACTTTATCATCCTGTAGATTAGAAACTAAGCGTTGTCGGAATATGGTATATTAAGGAAATATATCACAAATCACTTGCACTATAACCACCTGCAAGGAATGCATTGACTTACCAAACACCCTGTATTTTTTTAAAATTTATCTTTATTCATTATTATTTTTGTTATATTCGTACTTACATTATTTGTAATAATAGTATCTCTACTCCTCATTCTAACTACGAGAGTTAGCCCAGAAGTCGGAGACTTGTGCGGGAGAGGAGGCGGCATATTATTATTAAGCAGGCCGCATTTGCGCGCAGGAACGACTTATGTTGGTAAGCCCTAACCACCATTAAGTGCAGGAATGAGGGAAACCTGGAAAACCTCATTAATTAGGGGGGTGGTCAAATGCCAACCGGTGTCAATCTCTCACATTGACCCAAGCCAACATTCTTCCACCCTACCATACCTGCACAGAGGGTGCCAATCCTCCGTACAAGCATAGCTAATCTACGGTCTACCGGCCGCGGGATTCGAAACCCGGGCAGATAGCACACATCGATTCAAGTACTGACGCCTTAAACCGTGCGGCTATCGACCGCTTAAATCTGTAATATCTGTAATTATTAATTTTCATTTCTACATTTTCTTAATAATTTTTTTATATAATTTTATTTTTATTGGTTGCAATTGGTTGTAACTTTTCATATTCTAATTTTTACTACTAACTGACAAATTTGCGTTCACCTACAAAGAAATGAAAAAAGTTTATTTTGTATACCCTATATTTAATAAAAAAATTTTTGATAGTTTGTACTGACTTTTATTCCCGTGACAATTTACTGTATACGTGTGATAGAGTACAGACAAGATAAAATGTAAAATTTATTATATGATTAGTTATTCCGTGGTTGTTTCTTATAATAACTACAATGATTATTAGAATAAATAATTAATTGCTATTCCTGTCTGTCTGGGATCCTTCGACGTGGTTATATCATTTCAGAGTTGTATGCGGTTAGTACTACATTACATATTTGAAATCGCAGATTTTGTATCGCGCTCTATTAATATTCACCAAAGAGTAAGTCAAGTACGAATGTTTTGGCGCTTGCTTCTAGTTTCCTTATTGTTAGTCTGCCGGCGGAGTAATACATAAAATTCAACAGTGGAATAGGTATCTGTCGAAGCCACTTTAAGTATGAATGAGATGTTAATAAGTCGACTTTGTTGGACGTAATATATGCACATTTTCAGGAGTTTCGTGCCGACCTAAATTTGTGAGAGTAACTCATTCTCGAAATAAACGGACGTTTATTTTGATTCCGGTTTATTTTGATTTTGCCAAGTCACTTCGTGACACACGGACACAATTGCGGAAGTTGTAGAGGAAATGAATCGAAAAAAGGATATTCAGATTATTGCTAAAGGCTGGTAATGAATGCAGTTTTAAGTATTTCCATCATCTACCCAAGTTGTTGAAGATACACCTAGATTTTAAATTTGGTGCAGCGCAGTTATTTTATACAAGGTGTAAACATTTAATATCTATGCAACCATAAATGATATGATTGAGTAGTCGTATACAAAGTTATTAATGTTAACGGAAACAATATATTTAAACAGTATTATTTTACATATTGTATTACTTCACCGTCATCGTATTTCGAGAATTCTAATATATCAACACACTTGAATGTTAAAACCCACGCAATCCTGTCAAAAACGACGCGTTCTATATTGTAATAAAACATTAAATTCGTCCTTTGGCATGGCATCTCTTGGCTTTTTTCCATCTTCTGTATTCAGAGCAGAAGATTAATTTTCGTACGGCGAATGGGCGCTCTTCGCATTCAACTAGCTTCCACGTGCATCGAAAATAGAAAATGTTGGATTTTTCTTAAGCGTATTTATCTACACGGTAAGTCTTTTGAAACGGATCAACTATAAAGCGAAATTATCCGAGTTTAAAGCGGGAAATATATTGTAATAATAAACTGCCGAGACCGGTCAAATTGTGCAACGTAACCTAAATATAAACAGAAACACATGGCCCATTAATAAAACTTATCCACCATATCGCGTCCTTATTAATTCTAAGATAGAATTTCAAATTGCAACTATTTTTTTTTACTTATATAAATATCAAAGCTCTTGTTATATCTTTAGGAGGTTCGGTTTATTTCATATTTTCAAAAAAAATCATTATTTCTACTTTTAATAAATTCACGATATGTAGATATCTTACTTATCTTTATCTATAAAAAAAATGGTGAAGACTAAATATTGGGAAAAAAGATATATAACAAACAAATGAATGTTGCATAAAAATGTATTAGTTCCAATCTTGACTTTATCTGTTGTGCTGGGTCAGTAGTTTGTCGACTTATTTATAATAAAATTCTATGAATTTTCACATTTGATTACCTAGACCTAGACATTCGCTACTGAAAACTAAAATGTCTAAAAATTTATATCTAAGTAGTATAATTGTGCGAAATAAACCTTTATTAAAAAACAACAGACTTTGGTTCATAAAAAATATATTGCCTACTTAAAAAATATACAAATATAAAAAAGTCTACATTATATTTTAAGGTTGTACTGACCTTACATTCTTAGATACAAATAATTGTATTTTGATTTATTTTATAAAACTTTATAACAAAAATATTCACTATATTTTATATTACTTAAACTTAAAATAACATTATATTTTAAGTTAAAATGTAATCGAAGAATTTGCTTATATTATTTTTCGCTCGGATTTCGTATAATGAGATGTACGTATGTTCTATCTTCAATTTATTTTAAAATGTTATGTAGTCTATAAACGATGACATCATCATTTACTTCCACTTTTTACCAAATCGCGAAGTATTAAATCAGTGTCTAGTTATTAAAATTAACTTTAACCTGGATATTTTGAAATTTCGGTTAACACTTGAAGCACATACAACTCATACTGATAGAGAAGAGTGATACAAGTTAGATCACGAGGAGTACTTAACGTATGTATGTTCATACTCAAAGACTAATTACAGAAAACGAGGACTACCTACGTGAGATGAAAATAAATAGCCGCGAACTAGCGATCATAGGCGGGAGATGTCGCGGAAGCAGGCAGCGAATGTCACATCGACAGCTACAGCATTTTTGAAATTATCCCATAAAATTTTCCGTGGCTATTTAGCGTACTAACCAAATGCTCAAAATCTGCGCCAGCCCCGCTAGAGTGGTCGCCAACTGGTAAATTCATTAACGTCATCTTTGCGGTAGCTAATCATTACGCACTGCTGATAAAGAACAATAAGTAGGTGTGTGAGTAGAAGCACAACTCATCCTAATATGTGCTATGGCGAATCAATATCTCAAAGCGGTCCTTAAGAGTAACGTGATGGATCATTTAAGTAACGAAGAAAGCGCCTGTTCTGTCGCGTCTGGCTACAGCAACTCCAACAGTTCAAATGAAGAAGATTATGATACAGATTCATCTCATCGTAAGATTACACTTTTCAAGTTGATCATACATACGTTTTGTTACCTCTAGTTAACATGTGGTTAGAGATCTACCACTATATAAATCTAATATATTTTTTTTTAGATACAATGGGACTTCGATCGCCGAATGGTCCTATGCGCGGGCGGTCGGTTAAAGAGTTCGAGGAACAACTCACAAATCTGAAGAAGGAGAACTTTAATCTGAAACTTAGGATATATTTCTTAGAGGAGAAAATGGGAACCAATTTTACATTAGATAAGGATAACGTCGTTAAGAAAAATGTAGAGCTGCAGGTAATAACTTACTTTTAAGCTTATAAATCCACATAATATTTTATAGTATAGTTTATTCTTAAAAAAGTGTAATTAGAAGAAATAATTTCTGTTAGAGAAATAACTATTTTTAATCTGTTGGCACAATTTTATTTTAAAAATATGAAAGTTAATTATTTTGTAGAACTACAAATATGGCCTGAATATTCATAAAAATAACCAGCCATATTATTTGTTTGTTATGTAGAAAAACCAAGTTATAATTTTGAATATTGCCGATGTGATTTGTATTTCCCATTCATCCATTGTTATTGTGGATGAATAGATCTATTATTATATTTTAGATCATTTTGTTATTATTATTTGTACTAAAAGTGCTATTTGAGTAATTTCTCAGGAAAGCAATATAGAAAAAAGTCTTAATACCAAATAGGTAAGCTTCATTACCCCCAGGGCTTAATTCAAAAAGATTTTGGTCAATTTTCTTTTTGTCACTTACGCCCATTTGATGATATCTCCTTCTTGGGCCACAGATTTCAGTTACCTCACAAATGCTTGTGTTTGTTGATGTAAAGCAGGATAATTTCTCTTCTGCAAATATGTCAGTACCGCTATGATTATTATTATATTTACTTGCTGGTTTATCAGTATTCAATTTTTCGTATCTTAAGTAGGTATAAGATGTAAAATTTTAATTGTAATCCTTTTATGAATGGTTTTTTAAAAGTCACTGATTTTTAGGTGGAAATTGCGAATTTACAAAAGGAAGTTCAAGAAAAACATGAGCTTCTATGTCAGGCGGTGAAAGCAATGGAATTGGAAGATGAGGAACACAAAAAGTTTTTAGTACTGAAAGAGGACGAATTACAGCAGTATCAACAGGAGCTTGAGGATCTCAGGAATCAGCTACAGGTAAAAATACTTTAAATTTTATATAAACATACATATTACAGAACCTCTCAAAACTGTTATTTTAAGAAATATTTTTTAATCGTTAATATTTTGATGCAGATAATAATAATTATTTTTATTTGTGAATTTTTAAATGACAGTTTTCTTTATAAAACAATACATGTCTTTATGGAACAAATCGTAAATTACTTCCATATTTTTAAGGAGACAAGGTTAGATTCTGATGGATTGTCGATCAAGTCAGACACTACAGGATTTTATAGTAGTAGAGCAACGAACAGTGGAACTTTTATTAGTGAACTTCAAGAAAAGATTAGAATATTGGAGACTGAGGTATATGCCCAAAACACAAAATCACCTTAGTACTGTTCTGTATTTGTCACACAAAACTGTGTACACTTTTCTTGCTATTATTTTTTGTCTTTTTTTTTTTTCTTAAGGTGGAGGGTTCTCATTTCACAAATCAGATTTATTAATCATTGACTAAGTGACTGTGTGTTTACATATTTTTTTATTTCAGCTTCAATTAGAAAAAGAAAACAACGCTTCCCTTCAAATTATATTAGGACAGGCAGAAACCTTAAAATGCCGGTATGAGACAATGCAAAAGGAATTTCAGTTAAAGGATGAAACCATAAAAAGTCTAGGAGAAGAAATCGAGGCAGCTAATGAGAAAATTCTAGGTTTTACAGATCAAATTAAAGACCTAGAACACAAGTTAAATTCCTCTCACAAAGAAAATATGTTAATGCAAAAGAAAATCCAAGTGGAAAATAAGAAATTCGAGGAGGTAATGGGCCAGCTGACTGACTTAAAGAAAAAGTTCGCTACGGCCAAGTCGGACTTGGAAAGAGAGCACAAGAGGGCAGAGAGAGTGAAAATGATGAACGACATGAAAATGTCAGAGCTGGAGGAGGAGAACGAGAAACAGAAGTTGAAAATTCGCGACCTCCAGGGAAAGTTAGAGGCTGCCTTGATTGAAATAAAGAAGAACCAAAATCTTGCGGTGTCTAAGAGTCCGGTGCAAAAATCAAACAGCTCAAATACTGATGATAATTCCTTTTCAGTTTCGAACTCAACAACACCTGCAGGAACTGCGAAAACGAACACACTTCATGTACAGATAAATCATTCCTCAAAAACAGCGACCTCTCCAACATCTCCATTATCGCCAGAAGTGTTCAACATCCCAAATTTCGAGGAGTTGTTGCAAGGTGCCGGTGAGCAGGCCGGCATCACTAAAATTCGTAGTCAGTTCCAGATTCTTATCAATGAAAATGACAGCCTAAAGCGACAGATCGTGAAACTCAAAAGTCAGCAAATGAAGGCCTGCGAAATAATAAAAAATATGATTGAGTCCAGAAATAAGGCAACGGAGGAGAACAATCAGCTGAAGAAGCGCATTGATGAACTCGAACATGAATTGGAATCGGTAGTGTCAAAGCCAACTAAGGACGAGAATGAAAGACCTCTCCAACAGCGCGTGGCTAATATGAATATAACTGCAGCTAATCCCAATGACGAGGTACTTACAGATAGAATGCTAGCAAACAGGTTTGGCAAGCACCACTTTCGAAAATAATTTTTTGCTTCTGCTTTTTTTTTGCTTTTGCTCTTGCACGTAGTTCCTAATTTCTGCATATTTATTTATAGTTGATCTTATTACTAATATTTATTATAAATTGATTATTATGACTTTCGAATTATTGCATTAAAATGTTTATTTTTCCAAAATATTTCGATTTTTATTTTAATAATTCTCACAAAGGAATATGTGGAAATTCATGTAAATTAGGCATTAGTTAAATCAAGGTTGAACTTTTGGCAACATTTAATACTTTTAATAGCAGCATCCTATTTTTAGAGTAAATAACGTGGAGTAAGAAATATTTTAATTATCATTGTTGCACATATCTCCTCAACTTACAACACTAGATTATAATTCTTCAGCATCATAAAAGGAATAAAATAGATCTTGAATATATATCAGAATTTGGGAAAATCATTTTTCTATTGTCAAAAAGATACTTATATATGGGGCATTCCAAGCCAAATCTACCACTTTTAACCCTGACCCCTTTTGATTTGGCTGCAACTTTTTTATTGTTTTCTACCATTGAAACCCTGAGAGTTTTTTCAAATTTTTTCACCCAATTCAATAAAAGTTACGAATTTTTGAAAAAATAGCTTTTTAAAAAAATTAACCATCTTTTTCAAAAATTGAGTTATCGGGACGTTTTTTTTCCAAAATTTTTGTTTGTAAATGTACTTTGAGAAAAAAAATTGATCAAAATTATCTGGACCTATCTTCATTGTTTTTTTTTTTAAATTTTCGAAAAAAAAACGAAAATTTCTCGATTACCATTTTTGAAATGTTTTTTTTTTCTTATAAAAAACTGACATTTTTTATAGATCCTCAAATTTTTTCAGTGGTTTTTTCGTTTTCTATTTTTTTATTGATGGAATATTTTTTTTTTCAAATTTAGCTTATTTCACGCCATTTTGAAAATGTTTGAAAATGTATATAGAATCCCAAAATTGAAAAAAAATATATGAAAGAAATAATTTTTTTTTGAAAAAGTTAAGAAAAAAGATCGTTTTGAATGATTTTTCTGTATTTTTTTTTCGAAACTACATCCAAAAACAAAGAAAATGAAAAAAAGCAACACATTTGAACTCAAATAAATCATTTTGAAACCATCGTCTTTTGACTTTTTGAAATTGTCATCAATCGCTGCATAGAATAAATTTTTTCAATTTTGGGATTCCATATACATTTTAAAAAATTTTCAAAATGGTGTGAATAAGCTAAATTAAAAAAAAATTTCAGTCAATAAAAAAACCTGAAAAAATTTGCTTTTATAAAAATGTTTTTATAAGAAAAAAAAAACGGTGAAGATAGGTCCAGATAATTTAGATCTATTTTTGTTCAAAAAGTACATTTAAAAACAAATTTAATAAAAAAACGTTCCGATAACTCAATTTTTGAAAAAATTATGGTTTAAAAAAAATTCACAACTTTTTTGAGAGCTGAAAAATTTGAAAAAATTCTGAGAGATTTTCAATGGGGTAGAAAACAATAAAAACGTTACAGCCAAATTGAAAGGGGTCAGGGTTAATAAAAGTGATCGATTTGGCGTGGAATGCCTCATATGTATTTATTTATACTTAAAATAATGATTAATTAACCCCAGGGTGATAATTCTTTTTTTAATCGTCATTTTGTTAGTCATTAAAAAAAATATTCGCTCTCTATAACAGGGGTCGGCAAGTAATAGGTGGGGTCCGAATACTTTTGAAAATTTTTAACGAGGTCCAGAAAAAAAATTCATATTTCTTAGTAATTTTTTTATTTTAATTTGCAGTCAAAGTTAATCTGCTCAAATTAGTCACACAATAATTGTAAAATACTAGAAAAAATGATGAGGATGGCACTCAAACGTAAAAAAATATTTTTTAAATAATTTATTTGAGTAATTTATACTTTAAAGAAATTTTTGGCTGCCCAGTATTTTACCTTCCACGGTCTGGACCTGGACTGTGGTCCGCCAGTTGCCGACCACTGCTCTATAACATATTTCACTTTTAGATCTTTGTAACTTTGATTAATTGGTTTAATTTAAAATTTTAATTCGGGAGGTCAAAAATACACAGTCGGCCTATTACCTTTTAAGACTGATTTTATTATGGTGAAGTGTAGCGCTATCTGCGTCCGGTCAAGGGAACTGCGTAGTGGGAAGCCTTCTGAGCGATCGAACAAAATTTTATCAATGTACACAAAGTTATAACGTTTTGCTTGAAGCAGGTTTTTGATAATTGTCTTCTTTAGCCGGTAAAACAGTCACGGAAATGTCAACTGTTGCAAACGACTTATAGTGATGAGTGTGTATTATGTCCTATGGTTCGGGAGATTTTGTGATGGCCAGATAGCATGCAAGAGGGGAGAGATGAGTGTCCCCGCTCAAGCCAAACGAACGAAAACATACCGTGTACGATTGATTGATGATCAGACTTCTGCACAGAGTGCACAGCTTTGATATTTTCATTCATTTGGTTTGTGCGGGGACGCACCGTTTCTCTCATCGTCGTGGACGCTGTCTCGGCCATCACGAAATCTCCCGAACCATAGGAAAACAGTTGGACATGATACACACTCGTCACGAGAGCTGGGCAAAATACTTTCAAAATATATTTAAAATACAAATTACAAAATTTAAAATACTTAAAAACAAAATACTTCTTTGGCAAAGTATTTTAAATATAAATTACTTAATATTTGTTTTTTGTAGGTATTTTGGGTATTTTAAATACTTCGATTAATTTAAATAGTCAAGACTATTTAAATTACTTTTAGAAGATATTAAATACTTTTTTAAAATACAAAATACTTTATTAAAGTATTTGAAATACAAAATATTTTTGGGGTTATAACAAAAGTATTTTAATTACAAAATACAAAATACTATTTTATATATTTAAAATATTATTTGTTTTTTTTTTTTGTCAAAATACTCCCAGCTCTGCTCCTAACCATATGCCGACTGCTTTAAAATAGAACTTAATTGCTGTATGCTGTTGACTGTGTGTTTCCATGACATCTACCAAAAACTCACTACATGCAAAACATTGTAACTTTTTAGTAGATACTCGTACATTGATGAAATTTTATCTCTTGGAAGGCCGAAGTTCCGATATCCGCACATAGATACCTTCACACACTTCGCCACAGTAAAACCAGTCTTAAAACTTAATAACCGAACTGTGTAGCAAAAATAAATTCAATGACAGAGTGTCTGAAAACACCTTGTTTTTGAAATACTGGTCGAAATTAATAAAAAAATAAGTATTTAAGAATTTTTAAAATACTCAGTAGGGTTGAAATTCTAAGATTCTCGTTATGGGTGCTTTCCCGTATCTTTGCCTGATATAATTTTACATCAATCTTCGTCAAACATTGTTCAAAATATTTCAGGTATTTATGATGGTTTTTATAAACTTAAACGTTCTGTAACTTTCAAACGATGCAACTTTGGACTAAATATATATGGCCCTACTATCATATTTGGCTACCGGTTAAGTTGAAGTAAAGGCTGACTGCTATAGGCTGTATTGAAGGCTATATTGTAGACCCTCAGTATCCAGGGGGCATTGCCTTCGGCGCCCTTAGATCTGACCAATTCCACATTTATTGTTAGTACTTATTATATTTATTACTTTTACTACTGTGTTATAATAATCTAATTAACAAATTGCCTATTTTTGAGGAGCACTTGCTTAAATCTGAGGGCTTTGACTGCACTGCTTCCTTACCGGGGACGACCCAACACTAAAACTGGGTAATGCCAACAATTAGATGGACCTTTTTGTCCTGTATATCTTATGTTTGGTAACATTTATGCTCCTTCATTTAAATACATCTTGTAGAAAATGAAACGTTTTCAGAAATTTTAGATTGTCTCAATATGTCTCGGTGATAATTATTACTAGCTACCAGTGGAGGAGAAATGGGTAGGCGATTCAATTATTTCCACAAGTAAAGTATTACGGCCCTGCATACATCTTATCTCGGACAAAAATTGTCTGTCGAGTTTTTCTTGAATTTGCTACTATTTCATGGCAAATTCAGTTTATTTAAGTTCACCTCATAACTTACACACACTTGTTAATGGGAAATATTCTAAGTATGTTGCTGTTAAACTAATAAATTTAGTTTATTACCCTCAATTGTGAATTTGGATGGTTGTGGTGGACCTGTGAGGTGGGAGGCGAGTTGACAGTATTTAACCCTCATGGATTGTTTTAAGTTAAAATCACACAAAAGTATACGAATCACCAGTCAACATCAGTCAAAATTTAAATGAATGAATACAGACACGACAACAAATGAGCTCAAAGAATTTGTAGTTTTTGTTAGAATTTGCCTCTACAATTTCGTATTCACATGCGTAGTTAATATAAGTAATCCAGATACGTATTAGGTAATTGCATACGAATGTTTCAGTGACTTAATTAACCATTTTTATTTTTTTCACTTTTTGTTTAACTGCACCCCATGTGAAATAGTCCGAAGGGGTTAAATCTGGCGAACGTGCTGGCCATGCTGCAGGCTCACCATGACCATGACTCCCGGTATAAAGAATATCTATCTAATCACGCCCTAAGACCTCTAGGCTATTCATATGTGTGTTTAGGGGGACATTTTCTAAAAAGCTGTGCAGATCATTTTCAAGAAATTCAATAAATATTTCTGCACTTAAAAGATGAGGGAGGAAGTAGGGACCAATTAATTACAGTGTCATAAAACACACCTAACCACAAGTTTCACTGGTAGTCATGCTGGAAAATATGTTCTTGCACTGTTTTCTTAAACAAACTGAATTTACCGCAAAATGGTAGTAAATAATATGACAAAAACCCAAGAGACTTTATTTGTCAAATTAATTAAACTGCATACCCATATTGAGAGAAACTATCTAATCATGTCACACCAAGTTTTACTCAATTATCACTATTCGCTGTCAAGAT